TGACACATTCCTTCTCCTTTAATATCAGGTCAGAATTAAACAAATTTGCACTGAGCCTCAATTGGATATCACATAGCTCAGATTTAGCTCTTAGAACTTGTTGACTGATATGCATAAAATGAGATTGATTAAGTTCCTTGAGAGCAGGTTTAAGCTTCTTGAGATTCCTTCTCCTTTAATATCAGGTCAGAATTAAACAAATTTGCACTGAGCCTCAATTGGATATCACATAGCTCAGATTTAGCTCTTAGAACTTGTTGACTGATATGCATAAAATGAGATTGATTAAGTTCCTTGAGAACAGGTTTAAGCTTCCTGAGTTTAGAGCAAAGCCTGAACATGTTATAGCCCCTTATCTTCTGATTCCATACTGAATTAACCAAAGACAAAAAATCAGGATGCTTAGTCCACATGTTAAAGAATTTGAATGTTTTCTTTCCCTCAACATTGTTATCACCCACAGTTATAAGACCTGGAGAGTGATCAGAGCAAAGGGGAATCAAAAATTCAACCTGACTGGCAGTGTACTTATTAATCCAATCCTCATTGACCAGAATTCTGTCAAGTCTACTCCAGACTCTAGAAGAAGACTCCTGTTTGTTACTCCAGGTAAAAAAGAGACCAGTTGTTTTGATATGCAGCAGTTGGCTAGAGGCAATAAAATTCTGAAAATCTTGAGTCTCAGCATCAGTAACTTGAGAACCTCCAGCTTTCTCTTCACCATTAATAATAGCATTGAAATCACCACCCACAACCCAGGGGATATCAACATTACTCTTAAAAGCCAATAATTCTTCCCATAAAGCTTTTCTACCCTCAATATGATTAAGGGCATAAACTGCAGTAAACAAGCAAAATAATTTCCCATCTTTAGACTTAATCTCACAGGTCAAATATTGCTCAGAGATTTTAATGACTTGTGTATAAATAATCTCATTGTCCCATAAAATCCATATCCTGGCAGTTCTTGTCATATTTGTATTAGCTATCCACTTCCAATCTTTGGCAATCTTATTTCCAATAGTCTGAATTTTACCATCACCAGCCAGTTTAGTTTCTAACAGAGCCAAAAAGGAGATATTATGATCCTGGATAAATTTTTTAACTATCCCATGTTTAGAGGGTTTGTTAAACCCTCTAATATTCCAAATTGCCAAATGCATTTATTGAGTTAATCCTCCATCCCCTCCTCTTTCGTTTAATAGTTGTAAATATAATATCTCTTTAGTTTTATTTTTGCAGATAGATCTCTAGAGTGAACTCTTTTGGACTCTTTCAGTTTTTTTTACAAGTAGACTCCTTGAGAAGAAAAGAAAATAATAATAATAATAAACCAACTTCATTTAGGTGGTCTATCTATAAAAACAAATTTAGAGGGGCAGTAAGTTCAAAACAACAATACTAAATATGGTTCATCCTAGTTAACACCTATCATTTTACTCTGGGATCTAAGCCTCTCCACTACAAAAACAGTAGTGGAGAGACCACCCATAACTATTGATTTGTAGTGCGCGGCTGTAATTCGTTCAGTATCTAACACTCACCATATCACGATAAATTACACTATTTTAATTTCCTAAATTACACTCAAAGTCAAATCATAACCACTCGTTAAACAAATTAACAATTACGATGTTGCAGTGGTCTCTCCCTACTTTTTTTTGTAGTGTAATGGATTTGAATCCTTTACTCTGTGTGAGGAAGCCTAGCAAAGCCTAGTTTGCTTCCTGACCTAGAGTAAAGTAGTTTGTTTTTTTTTGAGAGAAAAACAAGGGGTATACCCTGTTCATTAAAACAAAAGTATTTTTACAAAAGTAGGATACGAACTGTATCCGTTGAAATTAGTAGATAGAAAAAATAATTTCTCTAACTAGGGATGTATGACCTTCTTCTTTCAAACATCCATGAAGGTGAGGAGAGGGCATTGCCGTCATTCACCGTTGACATGGATTTAAGAAAGAACCAAAGTCGGCCATACATAGTAGGGAGAAATTAAACTTTCTATAGGCTAATTGAATCAAAACAACATACTACAAAAGAGTTATTATATACAAACCACATATGAAACAACTGATAATACTTAATTAGACACTGCTGCACCTCTGAATAGGTTTATGTACTAAAGCCGCTGCTAGCTTAAGTGCAGCCTTCCCTCCACCAGAACCTGACCATTCATACAAACCAGAAACAGTTGAGTTAATGATATCAGTAGCAGAGAAAGACGTGTTTTCAAAAACATATTTATTTCTTGATGTCCATAAGAACCAACATACTGTAGAGAAAACAGATCGCCATATAACCCCATCAGTTTTGTGTAGAGATTCAACAGATAAGAAAAGATCATATAGTGATGTTGGCCACATGAAAGGTAGATAGTAGTCACTGAAATGTTTCCACACTGCTTTGGTGAGAGTGCATGAGAAGAATAAATGATCACTAGTTTCAGGATGTATACCACATAAAATGCATGTAGAGTTGTCATGCCAACCTTTCCTTATAAGATTATCTTTTGTGTGAAGTCTGTTCACGGATAAGAGCTATGTGAAGAATTGAATTTTACTTGGCATAATTGGATTCCAAACCACTCTGTAGGTGGCAGGTAAAATTCCTCTGGAGTTTAAGAAAGCATAAAGAGATTTGATAGAGAATGAACCATTAGCTGTTAGAGACCATATAGGGATGTCAACATATTTGGTAATACTGTGTAAACCAATTAGATTCATGGGCTCAAGTTTGGCAGAGTAAGAAAAAGACGAGATGATTCTCTTCAAAAGTGGATGCCAGTGCCATATTTGATTATGAAAGTTTCCTTGACTGCGAATAGAGACATTTGTAGATAAGGATAGTTTGTATAGACACGGGTATAAACTTGATAAAGTGTTGTTACCAATCCATTTATCTTCCCAAAACTTTATTTTTTTTCACCACAACCAAGAGTCCATTGTAGAAGATGAAGAAACATTTCTTTGTTTGAGATGATATCATTCCAAAATAACGAATTAGAGGAATTGCAATTAGCTAATTGTAGAAGTGAAGCTTTTCTGATATAAAGATGATGAAGGAAAGCTCCAATTAAAGAATCTCTGCCAATGCATTTCCATAGCTATTTAGAAAGAAGTGAGATATTAAACAGTTTGAGATCTTTCACTCCCAGACCTCCTTCTAATTTACTTAAGCATATTTTCTTCCAATTGACTAGGCATTTGAAAGGTTTAGAAATATTTTTCCCAGTCCATAGGAAGTTTTTCCTGATTTTATCCACTTCTCTAATCACCCATGTAGGTAGTTTGTAGAAAGACATAAAATATAGAGGAATGGAAGAAAGTACTGAATTTAACAAAACAAGTCTGCCTCCAAAAGATAGGGAATTACTCTTCCATGATGCAAGTTTCCGATGCAAATTATCCAACATAGGTTGCCAATAAGATTTAGATAATTAATTACCACTCTTCAAAGAGTAAAGTAGTTTGTGTTATATGAGATCATCTCGCCTCAAAAAAAAGAGGCACACATTTTAAGAAGTTGAGCTAAACTATTATGAAGTTGATATATAAGAGGAGAAAATGGAAAGATGTTGATTATATGAATCTCCTCTCGATCTTTAGTCAACAAAGACGTCTTATAGGAGAAGGCAACCGAAAAGGGTAGGTATATATTGATGCTAGAGCTTTAATCTTCCAATATAATGAGAAGTTTGCTTAGTTGCATGAAGTTTACGAGAAAGAAAAAAAAAATACCAGCATTAGTTTAAAAATAAAGGAACCCAATGTGCTTACTAATGGTTTGCTATAAGATTTATCCATCATGCTCCAATTTATTAGACTTTATGCAGCTGGACTTTCCTTATGTAGGATAAAAATTCAAGAATTCATTGTCTCAATTAGAATTGTCTTTTACATTTTTTTTAACTACTTTAGTTTGTATCTAAAACGAGTATAAATAGCCTGTGAAGTTGTAATAATAACTAGTAATGTCATTGACCAAAAATTGTAATTGTATATAAATAGCTTGTGAAGTTGTAATCTGAGGTTATGAGTATCTTGAATGTACACTCATTTCATATTTGGTGAATGAATAAAGATTTTTCATTGACCAAAAAAGAAACGAGTATAAATATTATTTTCATTTAAAGTGAATAATAACTAGTCAATATACAATTAATATTGCCGGCTTAGAATTACTACAACAAAAATTTGACTTTTATACTTTTCCTATGATCATGTCAAACTGAAATTTGCTTCTCATGTCACGCACATTTTAGGCATAGAAACGTTTAATGGCAATTTTGTACATTATGGCAAAGTCATGACCACGGATCTACAAGTTTGAAGCAAAAAATAAAAATACCTTGCTTGTACGCGAAGGGTCACAGCCATTTTGCAGCTGCAAACATAAGTTTATTCTAACAAAACTTGCGGTGCACAGGTTAACAATAAAAATAGAGTTAGTTTTTTTTTTTTAATAGAGTGAGCGTTTTCATAATGAGTGGCACTACAGGCACACTCTCCACCACTCTCCACGACACCCCCTCTCCTGCTACAGTGCAGGGGGGGCCCACTTGAGATTTTTTAAAAAATCTCAGGTGGCCCCCCTTACACTGTAGCAGGAGAGGGGGTGTGGTGGAGAGTGTGGTGGAGAGTGTGCCTGTAGTGTTATTTTTTCATAATAGACCCCCAAATCTTTTTTAAATTGTATTTTAGACTAAATAGGAATCCTCTCGGATTTGCCTGCATATGGCAAGCAGGGGGTATTAAATTGGGGACGAGTGCCAGCTGTCAGGCGAAGCGGTCATAATTGCGAGCGAGGTGGAACGTGTGGGGTCACACCTCACTGCCTCAGTGGGACCCATCGTGGGGAGAAGGGCCTAAGAATTTTGTTTGGGTCGCACCCAACTGTGGGAACTGTTTCCGTTTCTCAAATCTCAATCCTTCCGAGAACCCCACACTGCTTGTGCCGCCGGAACCAAGTAAGTTCAGCTCATTTTGCAAGAGCTTTGCCACATGGACCTAAAGTATGAGACTAACAGGGAAACAGGTGAGATGTCTCACTCCTATTGCATAATGAGCTGGCAATCAATGATTTTTAGCTCATTATGTAGTAGGAGGGAGACACATCACATGTCTCCCTGTTAATCTCATATTTTGGATCCTTGAGGAATTTTTCGTACGTTAAATATGCATTTTTCTGACTGAATATATTAAATCTATATTATTTAAGATCATTCACAAAGTCACTTAATGCAGGGTGATCTAGACAGTTACAAAACGATTATAATAAGTTAGATCATTATTAATCTTTCCAAGTTAATACATTAAAAATATATTTATTACATAAATTAGATGATTTGCATACATGAGTCACGAGCAAACCCATTATTAGGATAAGGTTAGGTCCTTTATATATACATAACCTCTCCCGTCAAAGATTTACGTATGAAGATATATTGTGAAACTAAAACTTGATAAGTAAAGAGCAGACTAAGTTTTTTATATATTTTCTCTAAGATTTTGGCAAAAAAAAAAAAAAAAACCCTAAGCTTAATATAATAAGATATGATAGGACGAAACATTTGAACCTACGGGCGGCTAATTTTGTTGGTAACCACGCATAGCCATGCTCGAGCCAAATGCATCAATTAAGCAAATGTAATGTTTGATGATCGCTAGCTGGTCCAAGCTGATCAGGCGTCATAAGTAGGACCCTTCAACCTACCTGTAGTTTCTGTAATATAACTCCTCTAGTCTTGAGTTCGATTCCAAACCGTGTTATCAAAAAGAAAAAATGACATTCAAAAATATATTTATATCAAAAATTAGACGATCCTCACAAATCCATTATGAACAGAAATTGGCTTAAAATTTTATGTTATAAATAAGTAATTAATTGCTTATATTACTTAATTTATGGAGCACATGTTGCTTTTCATAATTTATATAGAAAAACTCTTAAATGGTTCCGCAGGACAACTTAGAGCGAATATTTAATGGAGAACCCATCGTTTAATTCCATTTTTGAGGCTTCTTCAGTTTCCGTTCTCCTTCAAAGACCGCTGAGCGAGCGAGCGATAGTGAGATGAAGGAGAGAGAAAGAATCCAGAAACGCGAAGGCCGAGACTTTCGACGAGGCGTCGAGGGCTTTGCTCTCTCTGAGAGATCTCAGGTTGAGTAGAAATGGTGGAGACAGGAAGAAGATTAATGGGGGGTTTGGGTCTCCTGTCGCGATTCCCGAGCATTTCTTGTGCCCGATTTCGTCGGAGATTATGAAGGATCCTGTCGTTTTAGCATCTGGGCAGGTAATTTCTTGATCGGTTTTTGAATTTTTTTTTCCATGGGCATGCGAAAGATTGTAGTTTGATATCGATTATGCATCTGGGCGGGTAATTTTACTGTGAAAATTTTGATGATTTCTGTTCATTTTCATTTATGTGGTAGCAATTTTGATGGGCATGCGAAATTTTTGGCGGTTAGGTATTGAGGATTTCAAAATATTGATTCTATTGGTGTTTATCCGTTCCCAGTTTTAGCCGGAAATTTTCCGGAGTTTATGGGTATTTCTTGATGATTATACTGATAAGAGAATATCTATAGAATTTTGTTTAGAGTTCCAAAGATTCACAAGATATATGCTGTTTTATTACATAATAATGTGCTCATCCTATGTTCTTGAATCCTGAATATTTAAGTGCATTTTAATCACGACTGATTTAATTGAATTACCTCTTTTGTGTGAAACTTTCATCCGTGGAAAGATCTCTGCTGCTTCCACTAGATTTATGCAATAAGAATCAATGGCTTTGCTTATTCAACCTTATCTCCGTATTTTTCAACCAGGCTCTGTCTGTTTGACTCTCTGTCTCTGGTAATAAGCACAGATCTATCTGCTTGTAATTGTTCTTTTATCTTCTTGGAAATTTTAGATTCTAATAATTATGGGCACTTTATGATTATTATGATTTTAATTTTTAATTTAACTTTTGGGTTTCTTGGAGGCCAATATTTTGATTCATATTCAGAAAAAATAAATTGTTTTCAGAGGTTGCAGCAGTGGATGTACTTGCTATGATTAGTCCTCTGCTTGTTCCATTAGGAATTGTCTAAATTATTGTCAGAGGCTGCAGCATTTTTTTCCCCATTGAATAACTGTTGATATGAATTTTGTAAGATTGTTTCTGTTTCAGCTTGAATTTAGCTTCCGTAATAAGAACAGTATTATTTGCTTGTAATGTCAGATATTTCTTTTTTATCTGTTCTAAAACTGTAAATATTTCACAGTATGTAAGATTCAATTTTGCATTGTTCTCATTATTGTTCTTGCATTTTTGTGTGCCTTTGAGTCACAACTAATTCGAGTAATTTACCTCTCCAATGTGAAATGTATCCATAAAAAAAATTCTGTTTTTCCAAACTAGATACTATTAGAGGTTGTTGTTTATTCAATCTAATGTACCTATGTTCCCTTGTGTATTTGTACTACTATGTAGAACCCTCTCTTTGTTTCTGTTTCAGGATGATAAGGATAGCATTATCTGCCTCTGCTTATTCTTTGTGTTCTTTTATTTATTTACTTATTTATTAATCATTCTGTTCATATCTCTATCTTTGTCCATTTGCAGACCTACGACCGGCCCTTCATTCAGGAATGGCTGAACTCCGGCAACCGAACGTGCCCACAAACCCAACAAGTCCTCACAAACCCTACTCTCACCCCGAACCACCTTGTCCGCAGCATGATCTCCCAATGGTGCATGGAGCACAATATTCCCCTCCCTCCCCCCTCACCCATCTCCAACCCCGACGATCCCCCAATATCTGCCTCTGAGCGGACCTCCGTCAGTTCTCTCCTCAAAAACCTCTCATCCCCCTCCCTTCCCATCAAGAAACAAGCCGTCAAAGATCTCCGTCTCCTCACAAAACAAAAAACCTCGGTCCGAGCCTTCATCGGTCAAAACCCTGAAGTCATCCCCAAATTAATCTCCGTCTTTGATGGCGTCGATCATGAAATCCATGAAGATACAGTCACCACGATGCTCAATGTTTCACTCTTTGAGAGCAACAAGAAAGTCCTCGGCGATGATCCCCAAACCATACCGTTTCTAATTGATGCGTTAAAGACCGGTACAATGCAGACACGAGGCAATTCTGCAGCGGCTCTCTTCAGCCTCTCCGCTCTTGATTCTAATAAGATCAAGATCGGAGAGTTGGGGGCAATGAGGCCTCTCATAAGTCTCCTAGAGCACGGGTCATTACAGGCTAAAAAAGACGCGGCAAATGCGATATTCAACTTGTGCACTAATCACGAGAACAGGACTCGAGCAGTGAGTGATGGTGTGGCTGGTGCGGTGCTGTTGCTGATCATGGATAAATTGCTTGTTGGCGAGTCACTGGCGATTCTCGCATTGGTATCAGGCCACAAGGAACTGTGGAGGCTGACGGAGTTAGATACTTGCTCGAGATCATAAGAGAGAGCTCCTGTGCACGGAACAAAGAGAATGCGGTTGTGGTTATTTACTCTGTATGTGTCGATCACAGGATGAAGCTGAGGGAGATCGGAGAGGAGGAGACTCTTTACGGTACCATATCGGATCTTGTGGCAACTGGAAGTTCGAGGGCGAGAAGGAAGGCGAGGGGGATACTGGAGAGGATTAGAAAGTCGATGCACGCGACGCATTACTCTTGTTAGAATAAGGGACGGTTTCAGTTCATTCTCCATGTAAATAGTAGCATCCTCTTATACAGAATTTTGTTGTTCCCTCTTGTCCATGGAGATAATTGTGTAGTTTTGTGTTTATTTTTTCTGTTTGTGAAAAGATCCTGCAGGTGTTTTCTTTGCTATTGTTTTCGAGTACTGTTATGATGGCGAGGCTCCTGTACAGCGGTGGGCAGGGTTTCGGATTCCAAATGCTGCTGGCGCTCATGATGTGATGATGCTGATGATGATTGACAGCTACATGTGAGGACCACCTTTTTTTTTTTGGGGTGGGGTGGGGTGGGATGGGGGGTTGATTTCTATAAGAACAATTTTTCATTTCAGCCCCATTCTAATTTTTTATTATTAAAATCGATCCTTTTTTTTATTTATCAAAACCGACCCAATTTTCGTGATTAGCAGCTTAATCACCTTCCTAATTAGTTGGTGTTGTCAACCCTAACTATTTAGGACATTAAATTTTAGGGTTTAAGGCTTCTAATTAGGATTTAACACCCTCCTAAATAGTCGGGGTTGCCAACCCCGACTAATTAGGAAGGTGATTAAGCTGCTAATCAAGAAATCGGGTCGGTTATGGTAAATAAAAAAAGTGATCGATTTCAATAATAATAAAAAATAAATAGGGCTGAAGTGAAAAATTGTTCTTTCTATAATGCTGGGATAAGTCTGAAGTCGTAGCAGGGTTTTGGTGCGTGCTTTTATGGCTGTCAATGGGCTTTAGCTGCGTAGAACTCGGCTTTTATTTGTACAGGATTGAGCGGTTTTGAGGGTGGAAATTAAAAGGATAAACGTCACTTAACCCCCTGAACTTTGGGAACTTTATTTGTTCTGCCTAAACCCCTCTGAACTTTGTTTCACTTAGACCCTCCAAAGTAACGCCGCGAGCGCTGGAGAGTCGCACGTCAAGCACGTAACAACAAGGGACGAAAAAACCTCTCACGGTACTAAAAGTTACCCCTCCATTAACGAGTAATGCCGCTAGGGGTTTTATATTTTTAGGAACATCAAAGTTTAGGGAGGTTAGACGAGACACCCCAAAACTTAGGGGAGTTAGGTACAAAAACAAAGTTTAGGGGGACTTAGGGGCTGTTTGTTTGCTAAAAGAAATGAGAAAACCCCCCGACACGTCAGATTTTAAGAAACCCCACCTGTTACGTAGGATTTTGGTTTCAACCGATTTTCAAATCACGTGTTTGTTTCGCTTTGTGATTTAAAGAAATGAGGGTGCCACGTAGGATGTCATGTCAGATTTTTGAGAAAAGTATCTTCACACCAAAAACCCCTGAAAACACTTGGAAATGTCACTTCAATGAATTTTTAATTACTAAAAGCACTGTTGGAACATTGACTGTGAATAAAACAGATTATTTAATTGCTAAAAAGATTGTTACTATTACGGCTGATTTCCATTTCCTTTTTTTTATGTTCAAACAAACACAAAAAATAGAAATCGAAACACTGTTACTATTTGCGGCTGGATTTGTTTCTTATGTGACGTGGCGGTGACGTGACGGTGATTTCATTGCGAAAAAAAAAGGAAATATCTTAAAATCTCTTGAAATGAGTTGAAATGTGAGTTTTCCATTTCCCATTTTTTTCGGAAAACAACCAAACAGCCCCTTAACTGAAACTTACCCAATTATAAACCTCCAATACCAAAGTACTATACATGGTCCTGGGCTTTGACACTGTCTGGCCTTTGTTATACAGGCTGGAGATTTGGGCCAGAAAGTTGGTCTTGAGACCAGCAATAAGCGAGCTCAATAAAATCCCAGTGATGTGATTGTTCTCAGATTGAGCGCTGGTGTTATCCAAAAGAGAGAGAAACAAAACTCAAGACAAATAAATCTATGTGGGACTAACAAAAGAAATTGTAAGTTTGTAACATGGAAAATACCAGGATGTAGCTTTTAAGAAGGAAGCTTTAGTTGGAGGACAGCATAGTGAGTAAATAATGAAAAATATTTAAAATCGTATTATTTAGGCAGAATCATGTCTATCTTGTGTTCACTCGTTATGGAGAATCATACAGAGAAACCAAGAACCATTCCTGAAGAAGGAAGTACGTAAATAATTGAATCAGAAATAGAAACAGGGGAGGAGTTTCTGTTGGCTGTAAAAAAGCATATATTTAAACATGAATTAATATATCCTTGATTGTCAAGTTAATTAGTCTATTCCGATCATTAAAATTTAATGAAGTCGTAATACATGAAGCAAAGAACCCGCAACTTTCAGAACCTCTACCAAAAAAAAGGACAAATTAAGTAGTAGAAAATGAAAGCTACTCTATATATAGTATATCACCAATCAGAATCTTGAAGCAGTGTCGCTCAGAACCTGCAACCTGCAGAATCCACAGGGCTTGTTCTTCCTCCTCAGAGTCTCAGTGTCACCCTCATCAATCCTCATCCTGCTCAATGTAGACTTCAGCAGTTTGCTCGTCGTCATCGACCCTTTAGCTCGGTGATACATGCACTCTAATTTGTGGGAACATACACAGTCGCGCTTCTCGCTTGTTGCTGTTCAATTTCGGGATCTTAGTATCTTCTTCCTGTTATTATGTACATTGTTCCTTTAAAACAGCGCCTTAGCAACGGAGGAGGCATCGAATGATACAGTTGCGTATTCGCAAGAATATGTCGATGGAGATTCCTTTAGTGCATGGCCATTGAAACGCTTTTTATTTTTCTTTATTTTTCTTTTTTTTTGCGTGGGGGGTAATCGAGCTCCATCGTGTAGCCCTATTCGAATTAGGAAATGTATTTGGAACTCAAACAGAGTCAGTCCTAACTAAAGTAGGATTTTTCACACGAACTAGGAGCTTTCCAGTCCTCTCAGTTTAAACAGGAAATTGTGAAATAAAGGAATTGTAATTAACAATTGTTATTTAAATTAATTTGTTAAAGGATATATTAATAAGTTTTTAAAATATAGTAAATTACTTCAGTACAGTATTGTAGGAATTTATTTTACCTTTAGACCACAGATTTACTAAATCTGCAAATTTGCCTCTAAACCTGAGCATTTGTCTCTTAATTTTCACCTACATTGGCTGAAATTGGTTTAATTTGCATCTTAGATTTTCGACACTCTCAGATTATCTTATAACTGGAGAGGATCCCAATCCTAGTTTGTAGTACGTGAAACAACTCAGTAACCTCATAATTGTGATGAGCATGTGTACGCAAGGAATCGAAGTAAACCCAATTTTCACCATCAAGAATCTCATTAGGAACTACAACAGTAATATCCATTAATCGAATTTTAACGACAAACATGAAATAAAGAACATGTAACATTCAAGAACCTTTACAAGATCATAAACAAAAACAAGACAGCAGAAACAGAAATCTACTCGATGAGAACTCAATTTGAAGCTGCAGCAGGAGAGAATCTAGTGAGCTTGTTGGTGGTTCGAAGGTCGATCCTCAAAGTAGGATCAGTCTTTATCCCCTGGCTAAGCCTGGCCACCATTTTGTTC